AGAAAGCATACAAGAAAGGGAACAATAGAACATTTAAAAGTGTGAAGAAACAACGAGAAAGAGATTAAGTAACAACGACAGGATAATCACAGTCAGCAGTAAAAAACAATAGTAAGGAAAGAGGTGACAATACAAGAATAGGTAAAAGAGACAAAGGGAATGGCAGAAGTGAAACTGAAAGAGGTTAACAGTAGACCACACACAAGAAAAGAAAGGAGAAAAAAGGAAACAAGTGAAGTGGAGAAGACAGTATGAGGAAAGAATAAGAGGTAACAAAGCGGATAGAAGAATAAAGTAAGAAGGAAAAGAGCAGAGGGAAGAAACAGCAGCAGAATTGAAGAAGTGAGGGACAACTTAAAATAATTAAAGTAATATAAACGAAAGTAACAGAGAGAGAACGAGAGAAAATAGGATATACGAAGAGGTCAGGACAAGCATAAGAGCTAGGAACAGCAGGAATAAGACAAGGTACATGAAACAAAGAGTAGCAACAACAACAACGAACAGTAAAGCTTTATGGATGATAAAGGAACTGTAAGGAGAAATATGAAGTAGAGGATCTAAGGAGAAGTAACAGAAAAGAGATAGGTTAGTACGCAAAAGCAGAGAAGATATGGTAAGAGCAAGAGAGCAGCTAAATAAAAGAGAGCAAAATACGAAAGAAACAAGAAGGATATTAGAGCTAATCAGTATATGGTAGCAGTAAGAAGGAAGGCGGCAAGCGCGCCCATGCCATGATGTAGCAAGAGAATAAAAACCGCAACAAAGAGACAATCAATTGCAAAAGCTAGTAAGAGTGCAGGGACAGATATAACATCAAAGAAGAGCGATGGAAACAGGAAGGCAGAATTCTGTCATCACAATAGACGAGAAGGGGTCAGCAAGAGGAAAAATTACGAGAAAGGTCATTAAGAGCGAAGAAAAGAGAGAAGAGGAAGGAACGAGGACAAGGGAAGGAAAAGGTAGAATATCAGAGAATACACAAAAATTACTAAAAAAAAAGGAACAGAAGAACAACGCAGTAAAGAAGAAAAGCAGAATGGAGAAACGGAGAGAATGAAGGTACATATGAGAGGAGGAAAGGAGAGACTAAGTAAAGAGAATACATTAACAGCACAAGGAAAATCGCGAAAGGAAAGCAACAGTAGAAAGACGAGAGGGAACAAAAGACAGATCTGAGCAGGAAAAACAAGACATGAGAAATAAGCACAGAAAAAGAGGAAGTCAGAGGACACAGAGGAAAAAGTAGACGGGATGAGAAAGTAGATAAAAAGTAGATAGGCAGAAGGGATAACGACTAAGCAATTAACAACGAAAATCAAAAAGATAAAGGAAGAGATAAGGACCCAAAGCATAGCAAAGCCAGGAAGGCTATCAAGAATTACCACACAGGAAGGAACACACAGGACCACAACCCACAAATAAGACGAGCAGAATTAGGAAAGAGAGTCAAGTAAGACAACAGACAGGAAAGAGAGCAGAAGGCTGTAGGAATAACAACACAGAAAGCAGCAAGGCGAAGAGAAGGCAAGAAACGGGTAAGAAATAAGCATCAGTAAGAGAGCATCAGCACATAACGAAAAGGCGAGATGCAAAATGTGAGGTGGAAGTCATAAGAAGGATAGAAAAAGGGAGCGAAAAAGCAAAGCGAATAAAAAGATATAAAAAATTGAAGCAAAGAAAAAGTTAGGAATGACAAGAGAGACAGGAAAGAGAAAGAAGATATAAAAGAGGGAAAAACTAGGTAAAGGAAAAGAAGATAAGGAAAAGGCAAAAATGACGGAGAGAGTAAAAGGAGGGACGAGCATAATACAAATGAAATAAAAACAAGACGACGAGATAAGGCTGGAACAAACTACGGCAATAGGAAGAAAAACGGAAGGAAGAATTGAAGAACGAGAGAAACGACATAATAGAAAGCGATTAAGGAACAGAGGAGAAGTAGAGCGAGGAAGAGAAATGGGACACAGAGGTAATTAAAGATCAACATCTAGAAAGAAGGAAGCTAAGAAGAGGAGAACATCAAAGAGTCGGGCAAAGGAAGCAAGAAAATGGAGAAAGAAGG